AGAGGGTGGGTGGTGACCAGACATCTCTCAATGTCCGGAATGCCTCATTACCGGGCGGTACCAGCTATTGTCGCCAGCAGTATGCGACATTCACCTTCTCAATTCATTCGCACACGGGCAGGTCCCTGGGTCACCTTTCGGACCTGGCAATTCTTTACTCGAAACGGCCAGGTGATTCTTCCATGGGGTAAGCTGTAAGTTTTAAAGACGAAAACTATCAAAATCACTCGTGATAATACCCTGACTATTCCTAGAGACACAGCACAGATCAATAACTCTCTCATGGCGACGATAGAAATAAAGGCGTGTGACATAATAGCTAAGACACGGATGATGAATACAACAGGTTTGAAAGGAACATGGTGGTATAATCCATCATCAAAGAGGTGACCTCAGCAGAGGCAGAAATGAAACATACCATCGCGTCCCGGGGAGATTGCTCAAGAAAGGTCTCGCGCCTTATGAAACGAAACGGAATAAGGAGCAACCGACGGTAAGGGGATGACCCCTAGCGAGAGTAGTTGCCGCAGTGCAGTGAGAAAGGAGCCGGGATACTACTTGTTGAAGTGGGTCGTAAACCAAAAGTAGCTCGTTCTGGCTAGGGCCACTCTAACACAGAACAGACCAGGAAAGATGGGGGGGACATTTCTTCAGTCAGGAAGCAGAGGATCAATGAATCATATGTTGCCGGGCGCAAATAGGACGAAGCGGGCGGTCTATATGCAAAGGCGAGAGCACCTGCGTAGATGAGGGATAGGAGCGCTGTAAGGGCTGTGGTACAACCGGAGGGAAAGAGTACAAAAGCGACGTCGATGGTCTAGTGCTTAGGATGGAGGAGATCTGAGACGAAAGGCAGCAGAATTCCTTCGGGACGGGATGAGCGACATAGACATTGGGCTCCAACGAAAGTGGCTCCTTGGCAGGACAGTTGTCCTGTCCCCGAAAGTCCGAAACATGATCACGCCGTCATGCACAAGGCGGGAATAATAGCGCCTGGAAGGAATATGTCCTCCCATTGCTGTCCGTTCGACTAACTCACTATGGAGTTTGGGCGACCCGCGCTACACGGACCTTCTGTTTCCGGGGAATCTGTCCATGGCGGCAGTGGGGACTACATTAGGCCTAGAATTCAGGTCAGATGTATTTGGTCTCTCCGATCTTCAGTAACGGCAGGGGAGTCATTCTCTAGAAATTGACGGGATTTCTGCTCAGTCGCGAAACTTAAGCGAAAAGTGAGATTGGATGGACTGTTCGGTTGCCACCGTAGTCTTCGCCACCTCCACCTCGGGCTGTGAAATGTAGCACTCTGCCATCCAAATGACCCGTTTGCCAGTGTGTGGAACTTCAATCCCAGTGCCTTCAAGGGTTCGACTGCAAAGCCATTGCATGTCAGTGTGCTTGTCAGAACAGGTGCGTGGGAGTGTTTAGAATCCCGAGACTCGATTAACTTGAACGCCGCTCCGAGTCGGTCACCGGTAGGCGCTAGTACTAATACTGTAGTGCAGCTGAAATAGGTTTAGAGCGTTTACACGACTCGCTACCCTGGAGCCTGTCATCAACCTATGTATCCAGATTCACATGTCTTGAAATATCGGATGAGCCAACCGAGCGGGCAAGGCCGCTTTCGTTGATGCTTATCCGGCTCCGAGTCTACCTGCCAGTGAACGGACGGAACTGAAACTATCGCATTCTCTTCTCCTTGCTATTCACACAATTCCCGACACACTTACAAATTTGGGTTGATTGGTAAACTCCAAACTGCTTTTGGCAAAGCGCTGTAAGGCAGCGTATGTAACCCTATATACCACGTCCCTGACTGTCAAGTCACAATGTGCCTTGAGAGATAGCACAAAGGTTCAAAGAATCTATTCTTCGACTTGCGATTATCTGTCATCCCGCCCTTTGGTCGATTTACGCGTCAAGTCGCAAGTTCTTCGTTAGACGGTATGTCGTCTTTCTTTAGTTCCCCCTTGCAATCCTGCTATCCCTCTTAGCTCCTGGAGTTTTAGTTTTGAAGTTCCTTTTCGGTCTGCTTCTTGTGAGAGAACTCGCAACAATGTTTAGGCCTGCGCGCTATGTCTGCCTGTTTCTGGGAGCGTTGGGGCGCTACTTTCCCCCCGCCACCGCCTTGAATCGGAGCCCCTTGCTCTCCTTTGTATTATATCTTTCAGGCCCTTCAGCTGTATGACCTCACGCCAGGACCTCAATTTCATTTTCCGTGTGCGCGGAAAAGAGCAGAAGATTGAAGTCAATCAAACCCCAGAATGTTTACAGTCATTACGGGAAGAAATTTGACGGGTCCCGCTACTTTTGCCATCCCGCTTAGGCCATGGTGCGGCCAGATATTCCCAAGTTGGACTTCTACTCGGCGTCTCCTTCTGCGCCCTACAGTTCCTTTGTTTCTGTGGCGTTCCTGCCGTTCCTTGGTGCAGATACTATCATTCCTCGTCCGCAGCATGTTAAACTCTTATGACCTGCAAGTCTACATTCTGCGTGCCTTGTTGTCACTCATATTAGTTTCAGATTTCCTCGTGTTTATCCGACAATTTCCTAGGTGGGGTTTAATCTACTTATAAATAAGACAGTCGGCGCATAATAGTGCGCATCATCACCACCCCCCATGCTTCCAAATAACATGAGATCAAATAGCCTCATCTTCCTCTCCGGCTTACCTCTCGCACTGTTTCTGGGTATCTTCCTCTTCCATACGCGCCGCGGAAAGTCGATCTTGCGTGATCTGCGTGGACCTGTGTCGAAATCCTTTTGGCTAGGTGCAGTTCCATTATTCAGTTTTGGTACCTGCCATTTTCATTTTACCAATCCCACGCAGGTAATCAACCAGAGTACGTATATCAGAAGGAAACAGGCGAATCAGAGTTCAAGTGGATGCGTGAATACGGCTCAGCTTGGCGCGTCCGTGGATGTATGGGGGTAAGCTTGCCATATCCTCGACCCGTCTTTTGTCACTGAATTCCATTAGGAGGATCGGTTGGTTGTCGCTGACCCTAAGGCCCTCCAGTATATTTTACACACATCCGGTTATAACTTTCCGAAGACCCCGGATGCATCACACACCATACGAATGCTGACTGGCAACGGGATCGGCTGCACGAAAGGTAGATCTTTGATGAATTTAATGGCACTCATTCCTGACGAGTGCTTGCAGGGGAAGTTCATCGGCGTCAGAGGAAAGTCATGGCTACGGCATTTTCTGTGCCCCATTTGAAGGCGTTTCTCGCACAATTCCAAGTTACTGCGTCAAAGGTAAGAGCCCATTGACGAAGTCGTAAGGCTTGGAGGCTCACTTTGACCCTAGCTCGTACAGAGGTGGAAAGATGAGATCGCTACTGACAGAAACCACGAACCTATTCTCAATTTATCGGAGTGGCTCTCGAAGACGACATTGGATATCATCGGCGGGGGTGAGGACAAAACATAAGAATCGCCGCTTAAGCACTAATACTGTGTTTAGCCGGTTTTGACTTCGACTTTGGGGCGCTGGATAACTCACATAATCCGGTGACCCGCATGTATGAGAGTCTTTTGTAAGCGTATGCCGGCCTTCGTCAACGTGTTTGTTCATGCATACACGCACCCCCACAGCGTCGACTCTCTGTACCATGGTCCTCTCGATGCGCTGTTCAAATCGTTCTGGCGGTACCTCCCTGAACCCGTCCTCGATCTTCTTGTCCACCTTCCGCGTCGCGAGTATCGCCGCTTTCGAAACTACCTTAGGAGTATTCGTGAGGTCTCGCGCGAGATAGTGCGTAAAAGCATAGTCAAGGGCGATGGTCGCGATATCATGAGCGTCCTTCTGCGCGCTAACGACTCAGAAGATCCACAAACCAAGCTCTCCGACGGTGAGGTCGTTGACCAGATTGCGTGAGTTGGATAGTACGTGATTTGTTCGACCCTTGACATTCTGCAGAACGCTTCTCCTGGCAGGCCATGATACCTCTGCAAACTCGTTGACATGGTTTTTCTGGGAGCTTGCCAAGCATCCCGAGTCCGCACGTGAGATTCGCGAGGAGATTGCGGCCGTACGAGCACGCATCGGCGCCAGAGACTTTTCAATAAATGACCTTGAAGGCATGTCAACAATGCTTGCTGCGCTCAAGGTGCCACCATCTGGACTACCCCGTTTTGTGACGCTAAACTGTTCTCGCAGGAGTCAATGAGGCTTCACCCGATCGTATGGCAGCTTTCAAGAATTGCCGCGCGAGACGATGTTATTCCGCTCGCGTTTCCAATCACGACCAAGTCAGGCCAGCAGATCTCGGCGATCCCCGTACGCAAAGGTACACATATTGACTTGTCGTTTTGTTCGTATGCTCGGTGAGTGGCATCCAGAAGTCCTTTCGCCATCTTGCTAGAGGAGGCAACCCAGGGTTCCCGAGGTGTGGGGCGAAGACGCAGACAAGTGGAACCCAGAGCGGTTCCGCCATCTTGACAAGGAAAAACAGGTTTCCGTGGGATTGTATGGAAATCTGTGAGTTTTTGCAGTTCATTACGGTTATGAAACCCCTCACGCATTTTTTGTTAAAGCCCGAATTTCTGTCAGTCGTATAATCCTGTTTTACATGGACACACGCTGAAAACTTGAACAGCTGGGGGAGTTCGTGGCTGTCTTGGATGGCGGTTTGCGTATGTCATTTACATCTTTGCGAGTGGCGTAGCCTTGATTTCGGTCTCCCAGCATCATCGAAATGCAGGCCATCGCCGCAACCCTGCTCGAGAATTTTGAATTCAGCCTACCTCCGCAGACTCAGGAGACATGCATCACTAGACGACCTCTGGTGCTCATGGTGCCGATGGTAGAGGGTCAGATGTATCCCTGGATGGGATTGAAAGTTAGGTGTCTTGATTAACGATTCCGAGTTCCAGAAGGTAGGGTGTCCCGACGGGCCGTCTTACCTGTCCGTTCGTTGTAGCAAGTTTATAAGAAGAATACGGGTTGTCTATTTGCACATCATAGTGATTCAAATGATGTGATTGATCAAGCGCCGATGGGGTAGTGGTAACCTGGATCGTTGCCATTTCATGTGGATTGACAACTACACGATCTCGATCCGCCGCGGGTTCAATTCCCGCTCGGCGCAATTTTTACTTTTTCCGATTCTTTTTGTGGCCTATGTACGCGAGGAATGCTCCCAAGATGATTGGCAACTTGAAGTTATCGATCAATGCCCAAGGGCAGAGGCTATGTATGTATGCTAAGAGAATTTTTTCATGGACCGCCCGTTGTATATCCTCGCATATTCCTTTGGAGAGTGGCTTACTCCCCTCCTCGAGCAGGTTGGTTATTATTATGACACTTGGGCAGGGAACGAGAACATGTGCTCTTTGTGAGGCAGATACTGCTGAACGGCAAGTCTACGCTAGCTGGCATGGTGGGGGGATCGGATCCCCTGCCTACCTCTATGTGCGACGCAATTTCTCGCGCTGTAGTCTGTACACAGGTCGAGCACCCCATGAGAGCGGTGGTCGCGGCCACTACTGGATTCGACCAATTGATCACCCTTACTGGGTCAGAACCGCTTCTAGCTGAGGCCGCCTTTGAACTTATGAGGCAAGGCCCGGCGAATCTAGTGCGCTACACGGCAAACCATCCGGACTTAGACTGCGTCGATCCGAGTCGTGGACGGCGTGGTGAGCTAGTTGCGGCATTTATCATCATGCAGGCGCGTGCCAGCATCACTGAGGCCGTTACAAACTGGAAGAAGATGGGTGTCCGTTAGCAACTTCATCAAGGTGCTACTCCCGTCGCCTGCGTACAAACCCTTCGAAAGTCTCTGCCGATGTTTTGGCGCGAAGGGGAGGACAACAAGTTTTGCGTCACGTTCAGGGACTACGTACGCTATGTGGATCAACCACGTCATCAGGACCGAGGACGGCAAAATGGTTCCAGGCGAACGTACATCACGCCGCGAGGTGCGATGATAATGTGTGCGGACAACCAATATGGGGTCGGCATTGGCTTGCCCGCTTGTACGAGGACCCGGACGGGAAACCTTTCCCGTGACACAGTGACAGCAATTTTAATCCAGATCAAGAATAGAGTACAGCATTAAGACCACTCAGGCTTTTGACGAGATGGAGCCATGCGAAGTGGGCCTGTTCTCTGATGGACAGTTACCGAGGCCTGTCATTCGAGTTGTTTTTGCGCTCGCCTCCAGTGAAGATGGCATACTCTTTCCCATTATACGCCGGCGTAACTGTCGTCGTGCTGATCAGTTCACTGCCTTCGATGGGAGGAGGGGGAAATCCGGCCAAATGCAAATTTACGAATTTATGGCTAACCCATTCAGTCCCGTAAATCGATCCGATTACCATGGCACAGGGCGTATCAATTGCAATAATACACAACAGATGGGCAGTCAAACTATTTATTTATAAAGAATTGGACGTTGCATGGAATTTGATATTTCTACACGTACGGCATGAAATATGCCCAGCAAGCAGGCAGGTATGGTGGGACATTGCATTCCAATGTCGCAACATTAATTCCCCCCTTCCACTGGAATCATAAAGGCTGACCAATGGGCCTCTGCGAGAGTGCGAAAGGCGGTATAGTGTCGGAGAGCGAGCTGTCGGAAATCCGGGCTTTCCATACCCTCGCTCAGACGACGGCTGTGCAATGCCGCAACGCATTTCTTGACCAATGTAGGGGAGTGCGGATATTGTGCTGTAGCAACAGCTTCGCTCAGTTCTCGAGTGACCGGGACCAAGTAGAAAATGGGTCGAGTGCCGATCATTGTGATGCATGGGATAGTCATAGAAGCAAGCACTGGTTGACCCAATCGTGCTCGGGTACGGTTATTGTACTGAAAAGTGGCGATGGCCTCAGCGATGACTTGCGGCTCAGGGTCGTAAGTACTGATGGCGGTTTTATCCTCCTGGACCACCAGAAGGACGGTTGACGAGCCCTGAATAAGGGTAACGTCTGTCTGTGCTGATCGATTTGGATCGCCACAGATCAGTAGCGGGATGGCGTAACGAGATCGGAGAAGGAGGCCGCGCCTTTCATACCCAACCGCACGCAAGATCTCCCTCGCGAAGTCATCGATAGCTGACTCTTGGCCTGCATTCGCCCTCGACGCCAGATCTAAGTACTGCAGGAGACGGTACGTCTCATCAGAGAGCCCCGCCGTATTGAGGGTACCAGAGAGTAATTGGGGGTCGAGGCTGCTGAGGCTTGCGACGGTTGGGAGGGGTGTGCCGTAGAACTCATCTGGGGTAAGGGGAGAAATTTGGATGTTGTAGGCCAGCAGGTCATTTGCGGTCCAGTCGCTGCCAGACTTAGCAGATCGAATAAGGTTTGCCATGGGTCAAGCGTGTAGTCGATAAGATTCTGGTCGAAATAGATGCTCGGAAGATTCGTAACTAGGTCGTGTGCAAAGGGAGTAAAACTTACGACGATATGAAGTAAGTTGAACGACGGAGAAACTGAAAGCTGAAAGAGCGTGTTTGGTGTTTGTGTCCACGCAACATCGATAAGGGGCTTCCCACGCCACTGTCCGTCATCCAATATCACGTGGTTCGTTTTCAAGGCACAAAAAACGAACGACGTCACAGATGATACCACACGGCGTAGAAGCAGTCCCGCCAGCACAAAGCAGAGCAAACTTCATCGTAGGCCAGAGGATTAGACGCCGGGTGGAGTATGGAGAGCATCACCGATCCTGTCGATCCGTTGGTAAATCTTTACCATGCATTGACTAATTGGTCCAAACAAAGATGCGGAGTGGAACTTCCTGCCCTTTCTCCTTGACTTTGTGTTGTGAACACAGGACGGCCCTATATGAACAGGATGATCGCAGCCCGCATAGATGCCGAGTTCTCATTCTATCGGGGTTATGACCTCAGGTCCAATCAGTTCTCCGCACCTCGACTTCCCTGTGGCACATGGGGCCAGATGATCCTACCGAGCCCACACTGGTGTACTCGATGTGTGCGGAACACGAGAATCAGTTGGGAAATTACTGAACAGCCATGGCAAGAGTTCCGATATTGACGGACACGATGTTTCCCCGCTCGGAAGGCAACGCTGCATGCCGGAAAGCCTTGTGCGTGTTGATCAGAAACCAACGGCATCTGATCCACGAGTTGCGAGAAGAAGCAGAACCAAGAGTAGGCTCGAGCTCATGAGTCAGTACTAGTTGGTAGCTGTGCTGCACAGTTGACTGAAACTTGAACCTCTTGAAATTAACTTCTCCCACGCCCACCCGGCACGTTTGCGCGTGTTTGTTTATCCAGCCTCCCCTGCCCATCAGATGTTCATTCAAAGAAATCGCCTGCCGTCTCCTTTTCAAGCTTGCAGACCAGGAGGCTATGAAGGATTAATTACGGCAATCACTATTGTGTATGATCCATGGTGCATTGCCCACCCACCACAACCCGCAAGCCTCTGCCAGTCGTGTTATTGTGATAAAGTATGTGCGCCCGTTACCACTCCATCTCCTTCCTTGATACGTCGTCGGTCCGGATGCGAAAGAGACTGTCACAGCACGGTAAGCACGCCACATATTGCTCGGATTGCCACTCCGGAGCCAGCCAGCAGCGCAGGCGTCAGCATCCAGCCCGTCGCTCGCCCACTTTGCGAATTCCGTCGTGTCACGCTCATTCCCAATCTTTGGCACACTACTTTCGTCCTTGCACGCTCAACTTTTCCTTTGCATGGCCTCCATCACTGCTTCAACATACACCCACATCCACCCACACCATCCGCCTGCAGTCGCACACGTGTTCGTTGGGCCATCATTAGCTCATCCCTGCGTGAATCAATTCAAATATCTATTGTATTAGCACCGCCCTCGTACTTAGATCCTTCCTTAGTAGGTCACAGATACATGGGCCTCATCTTTTTTTTGATGTCGCTTAGCTTGACCTTCCACACCCACGTGTTGATGAAGCATCGCAAAATGCAGCACACTGTCGGCTCTGGATACGTGAGGTGCTGAACCCGTACAGCTGCGACGCTTGAGTTGGATGAATTGGCTATCTTGTTGTTTTATTGCGCTGTGCGGCGGACGCTGAGCAACAGATTTGTCGCTGCCATTGCCTGACCACCATCGATACAACTGACTAATTATGAAGTCTCTATAATTGCGCCGTTCCTCCGAACTCCCGATCAGAGGTTGGTCAACAAATGCCCCTCCTGATGCAAATTCCCTTAAAGTAATTGGCCACCGGCAACTTGAACACCATGTGCGGGTCTTAACTCGTTCCCACTATTTCTCTTGCACCCTTAACACATAATAACACATGTTCGGTATGATCCTGCATTCAGGTAAATGTAGAAGCAATGCAACGAAAACTCGCCCCATGAGAGATGAAGTTATGTTTATAAAATCCCAATCTGCTACAAAGTGAAGTGATAAGGCTTCCCTGCGCCATCAAAAGTCATATGAATGAGGTATAAGGTTCTCATGAACATATGCCCTTAGTTATTACAGTAGAACAGATACCGAGCTATAATTGTGCCAGTGCCAACATGATGCCAGTGCTGGTCAAACGTGTGAAAATGGACTCGTGATTTCAGATAACGAGAGAGCACCGCATCAGTCCTGCTACTACACGCACACACCATGAGGCATATAACAATGCCTCTGGTATGCTCCGTCCTTATAACACCCTCAGGAGCTGGCATGTCAGCGAATTTAACAGGGCCACTTATTACACCCCCGGCTTTGTCTCCCCCGGCGTATGATGTCTCAACCTCAGACCTTTTCCGATAGATTCTGCGATGAGGCTCGCTCTTATAAACAAGTATGATCATTCTCACGTTTCTGTACTCACCCCCACTTGCTGATACCTCTACAGTGGACGGAAAATATCGCAGGAGACCTTGAGGCTATAAATCCCTGGCCTAGAAGCGCAGTGATATCCGAGAGCCTACTACCCAATGCATACCCAATGTCCAAGAACGAGGATACCCTGGCCATGTCGCCCACCAATCATCCCGAGGTGCCCGGGCCCACAGACATCCTCCCTACGTCGTTGATGAACCCATACTCTACACTTCCCACATCTGAGCCCATCACTGAGGGTATCCCGGAATTGCCACTCTCTCCAATACCCGTGGTCTCAATTCAGAGTG